TTCTCCTTCTTCATCACGAACGGCAAACGCCACACGCCGTGAACCTCTTCCTCAACCCGTCGCTGATGGGTTGGAGATTCAGTGAATGCTTCATTTTGGCTAGGGGTATTTCACTTTTTTTATTAACCCTGCAATTTCAGATTGCAGATCTTTATTTATGTTCTCCTCCTTCCTCACGAATGGCGAACCTCATCCTCAACACATCGCTGGTGGGTTAGTGATTCTATTTCTGTGAATGCTTCATTTTGGCTAAGGGTGTTTGATTAACCCTGCAATTTCATATTGCATATCTCTATTCTCCTCCTTCCTCACGAAAGACGCACCTCGTCCTCAAGTCATTGTCGGTGAGCTGGTGATTCGGTGAATGCTTTGCTGCCACTGCTTTTTCTTTCCATTTTTACCTCTCGCAATCTCTTCAACACTCTCTAGTAGCTCAACTTCTCAGCTTCGTCTCTCAGGTATGAATTGTTCTTCCTTTTCTTTTTTGATTTAAAATGTCAAATTCTTAGGGGTTTTTAAGTTTTTTACCAATGACAGTGGGTGATTGTTCTTCCTTTTCTATTTCTCTGCATTTTGCAATTTGCATGCATTTTTCTAGCTTTTCCCCTTACGTGCTTGATCCAGATTCATGCAATTTTTGGTTTTTCAATTAGCAGTGGGTGATTGTTGTTCTTTTTATATTTCTTTGCAATTTACAATTTGCAATTATAAAAATATGCAATTAACAGTTTGGCAATTTTCGGCATTTCAATTGGCAGTGGGTGATGGCATGCCCTTGCGTGCTTGATTCAGATTCATGCAATTTGCGGTTTTTCAATTAGCAGTGGGTGATTGTTCTTCCTTTTATATTTCTTTGCAATTTGCAATTATAAATATGCAATTTACAGTTTGGCAATTTGCAATATGCAATTATAAATATATTCAAGATAATTAATCATGTTAATTTTGTTGTTTGTTGATAATTATCCCTTGGCAAAAACAATTGAAGAACCCTTATGAGGAAACCATTTGGGTGTTTGTTTTTATGATTGTAATATAGATGACAATTGCCTTTCTTTTTCTTTTTCTTTTTCTAGTTTAAAAGGTTTTCTCAAATCTTATTTCTAGTTACTTTAGTTTTTCTTATAATTATTTTAAAATTTGATATTTAATTTATAAAAATATATATTTATAATGATAAATTTAAAATGATTCATAAAAAATTTTAATATTCGATATATACAATTTTAATAACAAAATTGATACTTGATCGGTATGATATTAACAACTTTGCTCGTGGGCTCTGCAATACATGTGCTGTGTCCTTCGGTTACCGCCCCTCGTGAAGAGAGTTTGCCTTTTACTTTCCTTAGGGGCCATGGAGCAGGTTTGTTTTTGAGCTTCTGTTCTTCCATGTGCTCTCTTTTTTTCTTTTTTCTTTTTTTTGGTTCTTTGCAGTTAATTTCTAAGAAGTTTCTGTCGTTGGATGGTTTATTTTCTGATTACTTGTTAATTGAGTTTATTTGCTTTCCCCTACAAAAAGAAAAAAAAAAAGTGTTTATTTACTTTCACCTGTTCTCCCAGCTGTTTCTGGTTTAAAATTGAAATTTTTTCTTTTGGGATGAATTCGATGTGAAGGGGTTTTGGTCTTCTACCCGTTTTTGCTCTTCATTTGTTTCTATTTCTGGATTTGGTTTAATCTGTTTTTATCTAATTATTATAAGTGCTTATTTTTTAAGGTATATTAAATATATTTTGTATAAATTTATATTAAAAATAGAAAATTAATTTTTAATTTATAAATAAATAAATTAAATTTGTTTACTTAAAATTAATATTAAAATTAATATTAATTTTAATATTTTATAAGTATTTATAATAAAAAACTGTTTTTATCAATTTTGGTCCCTCAATTTAAGATTTTGTACAATTTTCATCCATCAACTTTTTTTTGCATTTTTTAGTTCCCTAATTATGAAAAATGTATTTTTTTAGTTTTTTCGTTAATTACTCCTTTAAATTTATCTGAATCTATATATTTTTAATCTCTTAACTTTTAATATATACATATTTTTTGTTCCTCAACTTTAAGTTAAAAGACTAAAAATATACAAATTTAGATAAAATTTAATGGATTAATTGATATAAAACTAAAAAAGTACATTTTTTTATAATTAAGGGATAAAAAAATACAAAAAAAATTAAAAGATAAAAATTGTGTAAAATCTTAAAGTTGAAGGATCAAAATTAACATTTAACGTTATTATAAAAATTAAAATATTGCTCATTAGGCCGCGGCGTCTACCAATCAGGTGGCAGACCAACTGAATGCCAGTTTAGGATCTTGCAACAAAGATCCTTCGTCGTGTGACTAACGGTGCACAAAAGGTGCCATTACAGTTCCTTTTTTTCTGTTAGTTATTTGGGCAAGGATGAGGTAAGGTTATAAACTGAAATTTTCTAGTCACATGTTAAGGTAATTTATTATATATTTT